ATTTTCAAATAATTTTAAATGTGTATCATATTCTATTGCAAAACATAAGAAATACAAATGATATATTAATTAAAAAAAATTCTAAATAGTAGGCTGTTTAATAATTATGGTAATCACTGTATTTTCACAGTCAATTAAAATTTATTTAAAGTAATGGGCGTAATTTAGTTTGAAAATTTGCGTAAAATTTAAATAATCATTCTTATCACTATAAAATTTTTTAATTTACCGCTTTAAAAGTGTATGAAAAAAAAATTAAGCATGTTGACTTCTAGAAATCTTTAGCATAAATAATTAGTTACTTACTAATTTTTTTAAAACTTTTCAAGAGTAAACGTGTACATAGGTGGAAATAACGTACGTATTCTTCATGTTACACATTTGGCTCTATTGGAGAAACAATATCAAAATTAATCTGTGATGTAGAGCATTTCAAGTTAATATGTTGCTTATGGAATAGTTAATGAATTTGTAAAAGTAGAAAAAAATTAAATGTATTTATAAAATTTCCATAATTATCAAACTAGTTTCCTTCCCGAAAGCTGATAGTATTCCGTGTTTTCAAAAACAAAGTTTTGAAACCGCCTTCCAACCGTATATGAATCAACAACAAGACTGCATTTTCAAACACAAACAAAGTCTTGTTTTTTACATTTTGGGATATAAAGTTTGATTTGTCACCGGAATTCAACGCAAAAAGTTCAAAGCAAAAATTAGCGTTATGTCAATAAGTTTTTACCGATCTAAAAAATAAATTTCATTTTTTACAATTAAATATTGTTATACTAAAATAGTAAACATCCGAAAAATGAAGTTGGTTATGTCATACAACTTACAATGCAGAAACATCAAAATATTCTGTATATAATTATTTTTTTTTTTAGTCAAGATCGTTACCTTGATTAAAATTGCTATTGTTTTTAACACTTTATCTAAATAAATTATTTCAACTGTAACAATTATAAATGTTTATAATGATGATAAAATACAAATTGCATTTTATATTACTGATTAGCATTAATATGAGACTAATGTATGTATGCATATCTAATTGCGATAATGCACAGATGAAATACTTAATACAAATAATTCGGAAACTAAATATATGCATATATCTATATTATGTTGCTATAATTATAGCGAATTGAATATTATTTGTATTATACGCATATGCAAAAATAAACACTTTTAGCAAAAAAACTGTTTTTTCAAGAATAAAATGCTTAAATTCAAATACTTCTATTGGTCATTGTTTTCTTTGTTTACGGACAACATTTTTAATGGTGACAAAAAATTAGAGTAGCTAATACCTTTGGTGTTTTTGGAATAAATTTGTGCATACATATGCAAATATTTATTTAGTTAGATTACTAATACAATTGAATTTTTTTTTCATTCGTTCTTGCATATGACAACCCAACTAGAAAATATTTTGGTTTAAAGTTTATTAATTGTTTTCAAAAATATCGTAAATATTATTTGTAAACAATAAGTTCTAGCAAATAAAAAAAATTTTTTGAATAACAAAATCAAAATTACACTTTTCAAATAATAAATGAGTAAATTGGGCGACCAATTAATTGAAAAGTGGCATATTTCTTCTGAGCGATATTTCTTTTAAAAAGAAACTTTATCTTAAATTTATTATTCTCAATTTATATAGGTTTTAGTAATTAATTTATCCAAAACAAACTGTTAAATTCTCAGACTTCTATAACTTGTCTTTTCAGAGGGGAGCAGTAGGTGACTAAAAATTGTATATTTTTGCTGAGGCCTAAAAGTTCTGAACTTTAGTTGACAATAAATACTAAAAATTAAAAACAATTTGTGGAATATTTAAATTAAGAAGTGTTTTATATGCGCGCATGCTACATGTGTACGCATACATGTCTTGAGAAGATAATACCGTAAATTTTTGAAAAAGAAGACATAAGCACATTATAAACATTTTTCCTATTATATTAAATTAAAAATTTACTTATTTTGCGGAAATTTAATAACTTATTAGCTATAATAAATAATTTTTGCAATGATAAACAAATTATTTGAAATATATACATATATTTACATAAATGTATGTCTAAATAATTATCATATATCATTAACGGTTATTAAGTATATTGTTGTGTTGACACTTTTTTGATTTGCAAAGTCAATGTCCATTAAAATACGTAATTTTAAATGAATTTTCTAAATATAGGCATTTCATTCATTATAATTTTAAATTTGTTGTTTAGATTAACAATATAGTAAGCACTTTATATTTACATTTATTATGAATATAATTGTATATACATACATTGGTTATATGTATGAATAGCATTTTTCGATTTATGCTTACAGACAATATAACAATACTATTTTGTTTATTTTGTTCTCGCATATTATGGTTTTTAGCACTTTTTCGAAAAAAAGTGCTAAAAACTTATTAGTTTCACTCTGTCCACGCGTCCGTCTTTGTGTCCGTCCGTCAATGGACATGTTAACAAAATTTTTAAACCCTTGAAACCTAAAACTTCATATGTACATAAAAACAAGAAACCTATTTCCGTAGAAAAAATTTTTACCTATCTCTCCCTGTCTAAAAGTTATAGGTCCTCACAGTTCTAAGAATGCTATTTTTTAATTGATTATTGTAGCAAAACCAGAAACATTTATTAAAATCTACAAACTCAGAAGAGTAGTGGCTAGCTTCTTTTACTACGGCATACCATATTTAAACTCTACAAAAATAAAAAGAGCCGTTTAAATTTACCGTTAATTAGTTTTTTTTCAAATTTTTGATGTCATTTTTTTCTAGACTGCAGGTTGTAGGAGTTTGAAATTTCAGCAACTTTTAAACACTAACAAATAGTTTATTTTGTTAAAAGAAAAGTTTTTCAAATTAAAATTCAAATTTCCTCTCAAATTATCGCTTCTCGAAATTTGAATTAAAAAATATAATTATTTTTCTTAACTCACACAATTAACTCTTAAATTCGAGCAATATGTTACGTGCCTCTATTATTTTTTGTTTTTGTTTTATATCATATATTACATACATTGCCCAGCCTAAAGCTACGCAATCTTTGAAATATATTCGTATATGAATGAAAATAATTTTTAATGTAGTACATACTAAATCGGAAAAGTGCTACATTACAAGCCATTATTTTGTTTAACCCAAATTTATTTTTTTTTGTAAGGGAACGGAACGGTGAGTTGCCAGCAGATTGTCATTTAATATTAAAATTTTAATTCACTTTATTCAATAACTCATTTAAATATTTAGTGTACCTACACAATATTAAACTTTATTGATTTAGAAGTATTGTTTTTAATTTTTGCTGTCTTAAATTAATGAAAATTAATAGAATTTTATTAGTGGGATTTTTGACAATTTTAACGCGTGAGTGCATTTAAATGACGATTTCATAAAATGTTAAATGTCAATTGTGTGTTAAATGTTAAAGTGGTAGGCTTTCATTTTAATCTGTCCCCTATAAGTTGCTCTATAATTTGTGCTATAAGTTGCTCTTTTTAATTATTCTTGCTTCTTCAGAAAGAATTTGACAGATACCTTAATTACTGCTTAATTATTATTTCAAATGCTGATAATATTAAACTCTTTTATATATTTTAAAACGAAAAACTCTACCATAGTGTAAACTGGTATCACAAATTTTCAAAAGTTAGAATAAGTAAATATTGAATTTTAAGGGACTTCACGGTATAGTTGAAATATCTAGCAACAGAGATAGAAAATCGTCACATTTGAGCATTTGTGCAAATTTATGACACATATTGTTATTGTTTGATGTGTAAAAAATATGTACGGATATTTCATCCCAGATTAAAAATATATTCTATCTAAACCCTAGTACATAATTAAAATAGTTACAGTAAATATTTGGAAAGGAACCAATTAGCATTTTTTAAACCAGTTAACTTTTGCAATCAACTGTAATTTTTTAATTTCTCATTTAAATTTTGCATTAGGTTGTTTAAGTAAGGTTTTAATTTTTTTATATATAAGTTTATATCGATGCACAATTAAATCAAAACCCTTATTGTGTTTTATAAAATGTGAAATATAAATACTTAATATGTTACATAATAGTTGATTTGCATTATTTGCCATAATAGTGGAAATTTTAGTTCATTATAATTAATAAAATACGGAAAAATTTTAAATTCATATAGTCGCCTAAAAATTACATATTGTACATACATATAATTATATTGTGGGCATCTTCGTTAGGGAATGTAAGCCTGAACTACTATACTAATAAAAACATTAAAAATTTTCCCGGCCTGAATTTTAGAAGAATACTAAATTTTATAGATTTTATTGCACATTTTCACATTAACAGTTACTTTGCAGTTTAGTGATTTATTTTCCATAGTTGCTTATAAAATAAATCATATTTGTTTGCTTTGTAAGTGCACTTTAAGAAAAATGTATTTATTTGATTATGAATTTGCAAACATGCTCTGTGTTTACTTTTAACATTAAAATTTTATATACAACCATATACATGTATGTAGATAAAATATTAAACCAGAAATGTGCTAAAATGTTTTCATTACGTAAATTCGTTAATAACTGTTTATAATGGAAAATATTAAATTATTATTAATTTTTTATATCAATTGCGGGTTAATTTTAAATTTAGCATAGTGTTATTCATTTCGGGCAATCGGATAACACATTTATACTTTTGTTCATTTTAATAATAAACTACATGCTACTCTTGAAAAATAAAATTGAATAATTTTAAAATAGATTAATGTAAATTATAAGTAATTATAATAATACGTGAGCCAAATAATTTTTAAAATTATTTAATTGGTTTTCATCACTTACTTAAATAATATTTGTACGAGTACTTCTCATACCTAAATGTTATTAAAATATTTTTGATTTAATTGTGGAAAATTTCAAATTTAATTATTAAAATTTCTTATAGTATCAAACAGTTTCAATAATAATAATATTTAAAATTAATTTCTTTTTTTAGATGGCAAGAACTTGGTCAACGCTCATATGGGATTTAATTGCTTTTTCAGTATTCATAATATTTTCAATTCTAAAACCATTATGGAGTCGTTTTTTTGGAAAATTTCAACAAAAAACAAAATCAGATTTTGTATTCGCGACAACTGGTGTATCACTTTTCGCTATGATGCTTTCAATATCAAGAGGAACTTTAGGAGTAAGATCTGTTTTAGGTTTGTAATAATTTAATTATTTCTATTATACGCATATACGTATACATGTAAACATAAAAGTTAATTCGGATCAAACCAATGGCTTTTGAAGTAGCACTTTTCTTTGAATAACTCAAAATATTGTTTTTTTTTATTGAATAATCTATTGGCTATTTAAATTACTTTCACTAGTATATTAAAATATTAAATTATTGCATATATTTGGAATGAGAAAAAAAAATTAGAGAGAAACGTTGAATTTGATGGTGAGGTGTGAGAGTTAAGATAAATAATTATATTTTTTTTGGTGGCATGTCATTTACGAGTACCGTTACCTTGTTTACTTATCAAAAAGTTTGCAATGGCTTGCTTACTTATTACTATCGTATGCTGTACCGCGGTAGATGTTTGAAGTATGTTAAAAAGTGTTACTGGTAGATGTTAAAAAGTGTTTGTAGTTCCATTACAAAAGTAGCCAATAAATGGCATTTTTAAGATTTTAAGAGGCTGTAACTTTTAGAAAAAGGGTGGATGAGTAAAAATTTTCTTTTACAGAAATAGGTTTCTAGAAATAAGTTTTTTTACTTAAAAGAGTGTAGAAGTTTTGTAATCAAATGGACTGTAGAAATAGAGTAGGACATATAAGCACTTTTTCCTCATTTTTTATGGAAAACCACTAAAAGTGATATATTATAAAATTGATTTAACCATATAATTGTTATAAATTAGTGAATATACAAAATTTATGTTGAAATTCTAAAAAAATTTGATATCATAATTACGGCAAATTAGTTTGTGAATTATTTTTATAACAGTTATCGATAATTTCTAAAATTTCTTACAAATATCATTGTTTGTAAGTGTATACCTATATGAAATACATCATTTTTATTGATTTATTCTTTGAAATCATGGAACATAAAAATTATAACTATTGTTTGATTGATTGATTTTTTAATTCGGAATTCCTCCTTTTGTTATTTAAATAAGAAGCGCTTAATAATTATTGTTTTTGTGTCTGACGTTAGCACTTATTTAACGTTGATAAATTTGTTATGGCCATACAATGTATAAAGCAATAAAAAAGATAAAAGAGAAAAATAGAAAAAAATTTGATTATATGTACAAGTATGAATATATATATGTGTAATGAGTTGATCGCTATTTTTATAGATTATACGTTTGTAATATCGCGTTAAAAATTTGAATATAATACTTATATATCTATATTTTGTTCTTAATTAAAGAAAACGCCGCAAATATCCATGTGCTGCTCAAAGTATTTGTGGATGACCGTAGTATGTCTTCGTATTTCAAAAACAAAATTAAGTGTTCCCCTCTCCTTCTCTTTTGCAATCGTATTTTATTACCTTTGTTGTTAATTGAAAAAGCCTTGGAAGAATCACTGAAGTACAAAGAAAATTTTAGTTATATAATTTCAAGCTTCCTCTTTGAGACCTGTCAAATGAAATATCTTTCTTGCAGATCTTTGGTACATCTAAAATTAACTATACGTGTATTTATATATACGAAACATATTTGAAAAAAGGAAGAATTAGTTGAACTGTTTGCAATTACCGAATTAGTCAACAGTTCACGATAGTTTATAATTTGAATTGAATTTGACGCACAAAAAAACTTTGTCAAACATACATATAACAGATTCGAACAGGGTGGGAGCAACTATTTTAAACGTAACCGGCCTCGTACGTCAATGCGTCTCTGTATGACATATGTAAATAAAAAATTAAAATTATTTTATCAAATATAATTAAATTTGAATTATTTTTAGGTTTTCCCAGTGAATTATTTTATTATGGATCAGCTATGTGGGAGACTATTTATGGAATGGCAAATGCTTATCCAATGGTTTGCTTTATATTTGTTCCAGTATATTTTAATCTACGAATCACTTCCGTTTATCAATATATAGATTTAAGGTGACTAATTTCTACACAAATTGTTATCATCCGTAAGTTGAATTAGCGATCTCACTGTAAAATAATTATACTCAAAATTCATTAATTTTTAATCAAATTTTTCTATTTTGCTTTTTTATTTTTATTTTTTGTTTACATATTTTTAATTAATATAATAGGTTTTTAATAGGAGTGTTCGAATTATAAACTATCGGTGTGATGCTAACTGAAATGACAGCTATATGTTTGTCATATTGAGTTTTATTTAGTAAGGTTTGCAATTTATGATAATTGCAGTATAAAATCAATTTTTAGTTAAACGATTTATAATAAGCGCTTCGTTCAAGACGTTAATAAATAAAATTATTATTAGAGCGAAACAAAACCACAAATTGTTAACGGGCAACCTTCAAACTCATTAATAGAAGCGTTTGGTGTAGTGTGTGGTACGGCAAAATTTTTGGTCTTCATTTTCTTCAAAAACGGAGAATGAATTTAACAAAATAATGGTGCTATATATATTATAGTTAGTGGAACCATATTTTTATTTTCTGAAATTCATTCCTGACACAGGAATGAATTACACTAACGATCTACAGTTGGCCGTAGATTGTTAGTGTATAAGACAAATGAGCCAGATATTAAATTGTCACTTTAAAAATTAATATTGAACGCGTCATTTAAAAATCCTTTCCTGTCCTTTCTTCCAACAAAAATAAAAATATTTACATGTTCCACGATTCGTTCTATGGTTTATTTCAATAACAAATTCGGACAATCTTATTGAAAAACCTTTTGTAACAAGGCTAGTTTTAATTCATTGTTCATTTAAAATTCATCATTTAATAATTTCTAATTTTAATTAATTTACAAATTTTTGTTCTTAATGTATGTATGTAATAACATATAGTTTCATTATTCTAATATTTAGTAGGGTAAATGTTGTGTTGGTTGGTGTAGTATAAGGTCAATAGTTTAAAATCATAACGTAAAAATGGTGTTTGAAAAGCTCATAAAATAGAATCTGTGCACACAAATTAATCAATATCATTAAACAATAAAAACTTTTGGAATTTATTCTTAATCATTTGCTAAAAATTTGAATTTCCATGAATTTGTAAGAATTTTGAAATCTTTAATTAAAGGCTTTGAATTTTAAAGGTATTTTCCCTTTTTTTATATTTTTGTCTTTGTTTTCTTGATTGAACCTTGCTACAATATTCCTAAATTTAAATTAATATATATATGTTCACATTGTTACAAAATATATGAATATACGAGCTCTTTTTGATTAGCTAAGATTATTTATAAAAAATTTATAAGTCAGGTTGTAGGTTTATTACCAAAGTTGCAATTCAAAGCTAATATTTAATAATTTCATTTGTATTTTATTAGTCATTAAATAGCGAGAATTACAATTAAAAGTAATTATTGTTTTGTAATTGGCGTTATAATTAACAGATGAATTAAAATTATTTTTGTTACAATAAGTGATAATTAAAATACTTCGTAATTTCCGGAATTTAATTCCGAAATTATCTATCGGCATTAATAATGAATGACAGAATGATTTAGTTGCACAAATAATATCATCTTTCAATTATAATTATATTAATTCTTACAAAAATGTTGATAATACAGAAAGTACATTTGAATTTTTTCTGAGTCATTTTTAAATGAAATTATAGTTGAATTTTTTAAAGATTACCTATATTTTATTCCATTCCATTTGAATTCAGCAAATTTATGTAGATCATAAAACACGTAGAACACGTCGTGGCGTGGGTGTAGAATACGAGACTCTTTAGTTTTCTAAAACTTTTACCATATATTTTATATACCCATAATACATATACAGGGTGATCGCAAATTGATGTTAAAACTATTCGGGATGATTCCTTGGATTTTTTTAGGAAAAAAATTTGCTCGTGTATCGGGTTGGGGCGGAGGGGATTTCAAACTTTTAAAGATAAGATTGGAATGTTAAAGAAAATTAAATTGAAAAAATTTAATTATTTAACATTCCAATTTAATTATTTAAATTTTGAAGAGAAATCTGTTATTCGCATCATTTTTCTAATTAATAGACCAACATACATATACGGTTGTGTATATGCTTGATGTTAGATTTGCCGCTCTCGAGATGTTTAAACATGAAATTTTTGATTAGAAAGTGGAATATTTTTTTTTTTAAATTTATTATTTCAGAATAATTTGCTCTCTTTGAAATTTTTTCTAGTTAAGCTACAAAAAAATTATTGAATTTTTGTGTAAATACCGAATAAACAACTCTGAAGATCCTTATCCTCTTACCAAATTTTTAAAGCCTCCATAATATGGAAGGTCCAAATTTCTTGTCAGAATCCTTAATAAATCATGGAAGTTTTCTCGATTATGGTATGCTTTAGAAAAAGTTCTGATAAGTTATACTGAATGTTTGCTGGTTGTCCTTATGTTTGTTATAGGTTGTGGTTGTTATGTTTTTTTAGTTTTAAAATTTTTATCTTTTTTTTTTGTTTTTGTTAATGGATTAATTTTATGTTGTAAGCGTATACATATAGATACACAAATATATGATTAAGATAATTTTTTTATATTTTAATTTAATATTTAGATTTAAAAGTCGGTTGGTACGATGTCTAGCATCTTTTACATATTTGTTAAGACAAAGTTTTTCCCTTGGTATTGCTGTGTACACACCAAGTGTTGCATTATCCGCTGCTACTGGAATACCATATTGGTCATCAATTGTATCAATATCCTTAATTTGTATATTTTTTACAGTTATTGTAGGTTCTCAATATTTTAATTTTCAAAGCCGAAAATATAATTTGATTTTTATTTTAATAATTTTTAAAATAGGGAGGCTTGCGTGCAGCGATACATGCAGATGTTATTCAAACATTGACGGTTATTGTAGTTACTATAGTTATAATAATACAGGGGATGTATGAAAGTGGTGGTCCAAAAAATGTTTATAATTTAAATAAAGATAATGGTAATTTTCTTGAAATTTAAAACATTGATTTTGTGATGCATTTAATATATTAATTTTTTTTTTGATCAACAATAATGAAATAAGTAAATTTATTTTGCAGGTCGGCTTAAATTTTTTAACTTTACTGGAGACATGACTGTACGGGTTGATACAACATCTGCGTGGCTTGGTCAATTATTTATGTCAATGTCACAATTTGGCTGCCAACAGAATTTTATGCAACGTTATGTTAGTTTAAAGTCTGTCAGAGAAGTTCAAAAGTAAGTTGGAAAGGAATTTTTTTTGTAATTTTTAGCACTTTTCAAAAAAATTTTTAAAAAAAGGTGCTTAATAATTTCACTCTGTCCGTCCGTCCATTCAACTCTATGCTCTTGAAGACAAAAAGCTGAAATTTTATATGCACATAGATCTTTAATAGAACTTATTTCCGTAGAAGAAAATTTTTATTAAAGATATGGCCCCAAAACTCTAAAAATGCTATTTTTTAACTATTTGTTGCAGCAACATCATAAGCATTATTCAAATTTTGGAAATGCAGGAAAGCAGAGGATGCCTTCTTCTGCCACGGCATACCATATTTGAGCTTTAGGAAAACAAAATAGCCGTTAAAATTTATCTATAAACTTTTGATATCGTTTTTCTTTTAGACCTCTTTCATTTCCTTTTATATCAAATTCCCTTCATAGCTCATCCTAAAAGTATGCAATCTTTGCATTATATTTTGTATATGAAGGAAAGTAATTTTTAATGTTTTTAAAAGCAGTATTTTCATTAATTAAAAGAAAAAGTGCCACTGACCTGAAAATATTGGTTTGGTTCAATTTTATTTTGTTTAATTTTTACAATTTTTATTAAATAAAATATTCATTATATTTTATTTGTTTTAGAGCAATGATGCTTAATATCCCGTTAATATTTGTTTTCTTTTCCCTATCATGGATAAGTGGTATGGTAATTTATTCAACTTATTTTAATTGTGATCCGTTATTGGAAGGATATATAAAAAAACCAGATGAAATACTACCATTCTTTATAGAGGACCGCTTATCATATATTCCAGGATTTTTTGGTCTCTTTTTGGCAACCCTTTTTAATGGTGCTCTTAGGTAAGACAATAAAGTTTTTATTTAGTTGAATAATGTTAGGTTCAGTTGATTTCAAGCTCTGTAAATTTTTTAATATTGTTTTTTTTTCTTATTTCAGTTTAAATGTTTCAAACTTAAACTCTTTATCGATAGTTGTTTGGGAAGATTTTGCTTTACTTTTACCTAAATTTAAGAAGTTAAACGAAAAACAGCAATTAAAAATGATTAAAATAATTACAATAATTGTTGGATTTTTAACAATGGGTGTTGCGTTTAGTGTTGGTCTATTTACTGGTGTTATTGAATCAGCTATGATTGCATTTTCAACTACCTCCGGACCACTACTGGGAGTTTTTCTTTTAGCAATGTTGGTCCCATTTGCAAATTGGAAAGTAAATATGATTTTTTTTTTAAATTTAATTTAATTTAATTTTTTTTTTCAATTCATGTATACTTATAAAATAATATTTTTTGTTTTTAGGGAGCATCAGTTGGTATGATTACTTCACATTGTGTAGTATTGTGGTTATTTTTTGGGGGTCGAAGTATAAATAATAAAAAATTTATGTTACAAACATCAACTGAGGCAAGTTTCAGCAAAATTTATGAAGAACAACAGTGCTACAACTAATGTGAACAATAATATTTTTAATTGATTAAAATTATTTGCGTGTTATAATTAAAGTTATTCCAAAGTAATAGAATTTTTTAATTTGGTAGAATCAAATCACTTACTTTTGGTTTATTACTAATAAAATTCAATATTTCGGTGTTTATATTTAAGGAACAATGATTAATTTATGAAGACTATAAAAATATTTCCTATAATATATTCATATTATTTAAAATTATTTCATTAAGTATATATTATATTTTAGGGCTGCTCAAATTTCACATTTGCATCAGATTTAATAAAATCAGTTACTGCTACAACAACAGAACCAAGTATTGAATCGAATTGGTTATTAAATACGACAAATCCAGTAACAAATCCAATATTTTCTGACAATAGGTAGATATATTAAATATTTTATTTTTATGATATGCGGATATTACTAAAAAAACTCAAAATCCTTTTTTAAATTTTCAAATCGCCATAAATCGAAAATAATTGTAATATTTAGGTATTGGATTTTTTAAATTTTCACAGATTTAATTTGTCTTCAAGCTTATTATATAAGAAATAATAACTAACTTATAAACTAACTAAAATTTATAGCAAGTTTCCATTGGATTTCAACAATGGAAACTTGCTATAAATTTTAAAAATTTCTTTACATACATATATAAGGTATCTTAGTTATTTGAAATGTATGTAATTGTTTTATTATGGCTATTTGAGAATTTTAAGGTTTTAATTTTCTATTGTACCTAGAAAGAATCTTGTAGAAACTTATAAGAACCCAGTTTTTTATTTTTTAGTTCCGTTTTACACAACATCTATTCAGTCAGTTATATGTACTATAGTATAATTGGAACTTTATTAACATTGATTGTTGCAATTATCATTAGTATATTTACTCAATCTAACGAAGATTCTTATGATTCCGAGTTATTACATCCCTTTGGTAATTTTAATGCAAAAATATATATTTTAAATTGAAAATATCATATTATATTATAGAAAAAGATTTTAAATTTTACACAAATATTAATTATTTTTTTTTGTTTTTTTTTTTTTTATATTTTAGCATTAAAACTATATGAAAAACTTCCTTTTGCAAAACCATATTTAATTAAGGAAATAAATAAATCCGAAGTGATGTCTAGTCCAACAAATAAATCAACTGAATTAGTTAAAACAGAAATTTGTATAGGAATTGAAAGACAAAAAAATTCTAATGACTTAGAAACTCAAACAAATAATTTACAACATCCGATACAACGTTTTCGGAAGATACCAGAAACTTAAGAGAAATATTATTAATTTAATTATTTTTGTGATCCTGTATGACAATAATCCTAATTTTATTTAAATATTTTATTTAAATTGAATTTTATAGAACTGAAAAAAAATTAAAATCATTGTCCGTTTATGTTTCTTTTTTATATTTTTAATTATATACTTATGTTATTGACTAAAACTATGTACGAAATTGTATGTATGTATGATAAAATTGTAAAAATAAAAAATAAATATTTATTAATTGTTAAAGTTTTTTAAATTTTGATTACTTGATTATTATTCAGATTCTGTTCGAAAACATTTTTGTATTTGAGTCCAAATAATTTATATAAAACTATTAATGTTGATTTCCTTTTAGTTCAAACATCACAGTACACTTACATAAGTACGTAAATATCATTTACTAATATAGTAAGAAAATGTTTAAATAGTTTTAATATTAGTTGTACAATAATGTTTTTATAGCGTAAATTTCAATTAAATATATATTTTACTAATTATAATCAATTGAAATTCATTAAAAATAATTGATATTAATTGAATTGATTAGTAGATATTTAATAAACTTGTTAATTATGATTTTAATTAATACAAAATGTGGATTAATTATGACTGAAAGAATTTTCATCAATACTTTAAATTTTTTTCTCTCTACATATATTATACTTATATACACACATATATCGCATATATGTACGTAGTATATGCATTTTGTTCAAAAATTTTAATTTGACTTAATTAACAGAGTCACGATAATTAAAATTGACAATAGCTAAAGTGTTTGGTAATAAGTGAATAATTTGTATTTTAATTAGAATAAATCATAGCTTTCAAGTTTCGTTTCTTAGTAACAGTTTATTAATTTAACAGTTTTCTAGTAATTTATTAAAATTTTATGAATTTTATGGTAATTTTTCATTGTAAGGAACTATATATGAATTTAATTATTAAATTTAAATTTAATAGCCCCGTTTCCTGAGATTTAGAATGCTATTATTCACTGGGGCGGGGCAATGTTTGAAATAATGACTTGTTAGTATTTAATTATATATTTTGTATATAATTTTGTATTGTTCATTTTTAAATTTGAATTTAATATCTTAGAAATTTACATTTATTTGGAAAAATAACGTCATTAAGATAAGCACGACTTTTAAAAAATTACCCTGAAAAAATCCCCCAAAGATGAACAATTTGGATTTTTTTTATTGTTAAATAATAGTTGATTATACTAACGGAATTTTAACATTACGTATTAATATATATATGTAATATGTATATCTATATATACATTTTCATATACTTATAAAAGTGAATTCACATGAATAATGTAAATTTATTTAGAAAACAAAGCTTTAAAAAATTATTTGAAGACCGGAGTTAATTTCGGAAATGCTTGAAAAAGAATTTTGTTGAAAAAATAAGGTATTTAAGGAAAAATATTAATGGAGTTTTCATATTTTCTTACATGCTTTCTGGTAATTTTCTTTACTTACCATCAATATGCGTACCCGAAAACGTTCCTTGATTAAAAAAAATAAATACTTAGTATATTCACTTCAATGATTTTTAATTTTAGTATATAATAGGGTCATCCCAGTTCATTGTTCTGAACAACTTTCCAAAGTTTCGAGATGAGGAGTTGAATAGTATGTTTAAGTGAGAAGTGGTCAAAAAATATTTAGATTTCATTCTCTTACAGATATATTGATATATAAACTGATACATAGATGCATATATCCGTTTGTATGTAGGTATAGATTTTAACGGCGAATTACAGTGAAACTTCAATTAAAAAACATGTGTATTCTGAAATTATCTTCGACTACAAACTGCATTTTGTTGCATTTTACATCATATTTACTTCATATTTCCTTTTGCACTCCGGTAACTCGAATTCTTTTTAATAAATTGTATTATCTGATTTTTATGTGATTTTCTGGGTTTTTTTTCCAAGTACAATATCAAATACATTTCTGAAAGTATGTGTATATAGTTCATCAAATTTTGGTTTAAAATTATTTGTCACCATATTGAAAAATTGAGGATCTTTGATAACTCGGACATGCATTAAAAGCTCTAAAATAAATTTAAAAAAGATATTCACGCATACTTACAAATCTGCAGAAACTGAATATTTTCTTTTGTATACTATAGTCGGGCAATTCTTCAATATCCAACATTTTTCTATTATGCTCTTCTTCTATTTTGTAGTAGTTTAAAAAAATATGTAAAAAATCGTTTAGAACTGTTATTTTTAAACATGGTATTTTTCTAGATTTTGCAGTTTGAATTCATCGAACGTGCTTTATATTAAAACCTAAGTTAGAACGGGGTCTGCCATAATTTGAATTTCAGAAAGTGGTACAGGAAACCTAAAATCAATGGTACCGCCGACAAAAAATTGGTATATTTTTTTATTAATTTTGAGTACCTTGCACCAATTAAATAAACAAAAACAATTCGATTAAAAAACAAAAAAACTACTTGATTAAAAAAACAAAACAGTTTTTCGGAAACAAAACCGAACAGTTACAAAACAAAACTGAAAAGTTGAAAAAATGAAAAATTTCCCAAATTATGACGTTAATCAATTTTGAAGTGTAAAAGTCATAATCTTTAATGAAGTTTATTTTATTACACCAAAACAAGTAGAACTGTAACGTATGGAATATTTCGTAAATTAACATGCTAAGACATTGTACTACATAGATTATTCTTACTTTTTGTGAAAACATAGACGCAGTCACAGATGTCACAAGTATCTTTGTTGTTTTTATTGTTTTATTATTTTTGTATAATAAAAATTTTTCCTTAACATTATTTCTTTTGAGGAAAATTTTTTTTCGTGAAAAAACAACCGAAAATTTTCAATCTTAATCAAAAAATGACACATGTCAAAATTTTTCAGGGTACATGAGTCTAATAAATGGTACGTTTGGCTGGTTAGAACTAAATTATTGATATAATTCCCATATTATTAAGAGAGGGAGAGAGAGAGCGAGAAGTAGATGGCGTTCCCAATTGGATACTCAAATCTGCTAAAATGCCGGAATTGGCTACATTTCAAAATTTTTTTGTAATATGGATACATGTATTTCTCATACACTAAATAAATATTACAAAATTATTAAAATGCTGGTAATATTAAGTCACGAAATTGCTTTATCTTTAAAAAATGTTATTTGTTGGCTTTTCTAAGTAGATTTCTGAATTTACTAGAAGAAAGTAAGAAAAATGTTTTATTAAATAAGTACTGTCTCCTTCTGTATTCAAATCTAGAACATTTAGACAAGAACGTACCAGAAATATTTTGGTGTAAATTAGTTGTAATAGAAAATGTATTGGCTGTACATATTTTTTCTAAAATTTGTCAGTTTTCATTATGAATTTTGTTTACCGCATAGTTCAACAGCTACAGAACATATATATATGTATTTTCTAACCTTAACTATTACATTTAAAATGTGAAATTGCATGTGATTCCTTAAAGAATTTACTATAAATAATAAAATTCACATTGCTGAATAAATTATTCTTATTAATTATGAGTTAATTCGTTCAAAATAAGACGACTTAGTATTATAACTAGACTTTATGAGGTTGGATACATTTTAGATACATTTTTTTCTCGAAATCGGATACATTTTGTTTTTACCGAGTGGGAACACTGAAAGTAGACGAAGAAAGGGAAATATTGAAATAAAAAACAAAAAAAATTTTTTGAATATTTAAATGTAAATAAGGGTAATTTGTTTTTTTTTTTTTCTTTTTTTTAATTTTTATTATTTATATTCTCTCTGTTATTTTTGTAATATTTAATTTAAATATGTAATGTTTTTTTTTTCAACAGAATTTGTTTTTTTTTTTTTAATAATTAAATACGATACGAATAATGGTGAAAAATATAAAATTTGATTTTAAAACAATAGTTATGTATGAATACAAGTTTTTTTTTTGATTTTATAATTTTAATATTTTACTAATTTTTTTTTTGTTTTTATGTTTTATATCATTATTGTTTTATTATGTTATTTTTTTGTTTTTTTTTTTGGTTTTTTGATAGTTCGCTTATTTAAAAATTTTTTTATAATTGTATATTTATAGATTTTTATTCTATAGCCATTAATAATGTTTTTTTCAATTTTTATAAGTTTTTGTATTTTTTTTCTCTTTTTGGTTTTGTTCAATTTAGTTTACAAACTTACAATTTTTTAAAAATTGTTAAAACTTACATTGTCATGAATTTTAAAGAATTTAGTTTAAAAATTTTTTTTATTACATAATTTTATACATTTAATTTTTTTATAAGCTATATTGGGTTTTTGTTTTTTAATATTTTAAAAATATAATGGAATTTTTGTGTTTATTTTATTTATTTTTTAAATGTTTTGTTTTTATTATAAATGTTTTTTTATTTATTTATTTTATTTTATTTATTAATTTTTTTTTTAATAAAATTTTGAACAAAAAAAATAACAAATTTGTTTGTTTTTTTCTTTTAAATTAATTATTAATTATTTTTAGTCCTACAACATTTTCTTCTATGTATTGTTTTTTTACTATTTTATAATATAATTGTAATTTGATAAAGTACTATTTTGTTAATGCTAAAAATTTCGAATATTTTTATTAAAATAATATTAGAATACTGACATCATTTTTCATATATATATATATATATATATATATATATGTATATGATAATTTTTTATTTTTCAATAATGTAGTAGTTAGTAGTATATAGTAGTTATTTTTTACTTTAATTCTCTTTCTACTTTCAAATGTTTGAAAAATTGTATGTTTTATATTTTTTTTTTGTGTTTTTTAATAATAAAGATTTTTTTTTTGTAATTTTTCTTGAAATGTTTTTAAATATGTTTATTTATATATTATCTATAATTATATATATGTAGTTTTTAAATGGGCTGCTAATCAACTGTTATATATATATAATAGGTATAAATAATGATATTATAATAATATATGTATGTTATATTACAACAATAATTTAATAAATATAATATAAATAATATATGCGTTAGTAACATATAACTGCGTTTTCTGACTAATAAAACTATATATGTATATATATGGAAAAGAAAATTATTGCTAATATTTATATACATATACATATAATAATGATTTTATATACATACATGTAAATATT